GCATGGCAGGACCCAATTCAAAACTTCCTGTACCTTTTCTGGGTCCATTTCTACCCCTTCATGAGAAATCCAATAGCCCAAATTTTTTCTTTATGTAATTCACATTTTGAGAGTTTGACATACAGTTTGGTTGTGCACAGCTTATTTAGGACTGCTCTGACTAATTTCACATGCTCGGCTTTCATTTTGGTGTAGATTAATATGTCGTCGTAACCCACCAAAATGTCCTTGTACAAATGCTCATGGAGAACCTAATTAATTAGTTGCCTAAATACTGCGGGTGCTCCCTGTAACCCAAACAGAAGTACTTTGAATTGGAAGCACCACAGGGGGCAGTTGAAAGCAGTTTTTCACTCATCCCCCTCCTTGATTCTAACCAGGTAATATGCTTCCTACACATCTAACTTGGAGAAAATCTTCCACTTTGAGAGATAGGCTAGTACAGTGATTGCAAACCTTTTAGAGACCGAGTGCCCAAACTGCAACCCAAAACCCACTTATGCATCGTCGGGTGCCTGGTGGGTGTGGCCCATTGGGTGGGCATGGCTGTGGTAGTAACAGCAGACTGGGTGGGACTAAAAAGTTCAATCAATCAATTCCAACATTGCAAGATCTTTTTTTCCCTGCGAGAAGTTGAAATTGACTGATTGAACCTTTTTTTTTTTTGCACACGGTGGCGGAGGCCTAAAGTGAAAAGGTTTTATAAAACCCAACTGAAGGCCTAGGACTGCCCATAGAGAGGGCTCTGAGTGCCGCCTCTGGCACCCGTAACATAGCTTCGCCACCACTGGGCTAGCATGTCTTTCATGAGCAGTAAGGGGTAGACATTGTCCACACACGACATTCAACATCTATAATCCATGCAGAGACAAAGAGACCCATCTTTTTTTCTCAAAATAGCACCAGAGCGGCCATTTGCACTCTGGCCAGTTAAATGAAACCACACGTCAAATTCTTATCTATGAATTTGCTCAGTTCTTCTAACTCTCAGCAGGTCATCGAATACAGCTTGGGTTTTGGAAACTTAGTTCTGGGGACAATCTCAATAGCACAGCTATTTGTTGATGTGTGTGGGGGTAATTCATCAAAGCCCTTCTCGCTAACAATCTCAGCTGGGTCCTGGCACTCCTGGGGTATGCCTTCTAATTTCTGATCACTGAGTGCTACTACCACTTCACATTCAAGCTTACCTTTGGGGCTGTGGTGACTATCGGGTGAATGGGGTTTCCCTTTTGGAAATCTCAAATCTCCCATTCTCCAGTTCACCCACGGGTTCCATTTTTTTAACCACACCAGTCCTAGGATTAGGGGCCCATTCCACTCCAGGCATCACTATAAAAGTCAAAGTCTCAGTATAGTCCCCCAGGGTTAATTTCATGGGCACCATGGCGAGGGTGGCCAGGATGCCCCCTGCGATAGACCCGTGTAATTGACCGAATGAAATTGGCTTCTTTAGCCTCCTTACAGGAATCCCCCAATTCCTCACCAGGGTTAAGCTTATTAAACATCTGGTGCAGCCTGAGTCCAGTAAGGCCTTCAGGGCCACCTTCTTCTTCTTCATCCCTGGGATTAGCAGTTCTATGGGTCTGGTAATTGGTGCAATGGGTCCACTTACCAAGGGTTTGTCATCAGAGTCACTGTTGCTGTTATGGTTCCGGCTAATGAAACACTTTAAAGAACTTCCAGGCATTGATTTCCCTAAAAGTCATTTATTGTTACAAAATGTCGGCACAGACATAATGAAGGCTTTATGCTAAGATCTAAGTTCTCTTCCTCTGAGCAGTTAAATTATCAGCTTGTTCCCTCCCTAAGTTAGCTGTCATATATCACATTATCCAATTAGTGTGAAGGTCAAAGGTTTCCTTCCTCTTTCTTTCCCGGGCTTTGCCCCCACCCCCTTCTGCTCTGTATTAACCCCAAATATACCAGACAGTTCTGCATATTGTCAAAGCAAGAATATACAATATTTGCAGCATTGACATCCGGCCCCCATTACAAGAAGGACAGATCCTGTAAAGTAAACAAAAACATATGTTAAGGGTTATGTTTCGTGGTGGTGATTGCTGTCCGGGTAACTCTGGTTGCTGCTCGAGTTCATGTGGGGGAGGCTTCTTATAGCACAAGAGCTTAACATCTAGCTTCACGGCTGTCTGGTACCACTCCTGTAGCCAATCAGGTACTTCTCGATAGATGCAGGCCTGAGAGAGGTGATCGTCTAATCCCTCAAGTATTGAATTGGGGATTGTTCGGACCACCCCTCTGTTTGGCCTGCTATCTTGCAGAACTCTCGTACGTACTCCAGAGCAGACATCCCGGCTTGTTTTATTTTGTGAATTTGTCCTGCTGCTTTGAGGCCAATGGATGGGTCCTCAAATCGTTCTCTCAGACTTAAGAGAAAAAGGTGGGGATCTTCCAATTCTGGGGCTTGCTCGCGATATAGATTGTTCAGCCATTCAGATGCTTCTCCCTCTAGGTTGGACACAATGACATCGATCATTGCCCCTGGTTCCGGGTAGAGATAGGCCCAGCGATTCATATGAGAACGCACTTGGTTCAGAAAAAAAAACAGCTTCTCTGGGTCCCCATCAAAGGTTGCTCTGAAAGGTGGTGCAATTACAGGCTGTTGCTGTTGGCACCACTGTGGCCGCTGGTGCAACGGTTGCTGGGTTCCCCACTGTTCTTGTGGCCCCCCCAGTTGCTGTTGGCTCCATCCTGGCTGCAGATTTATGCTCAGGAGTTGCACATTTGGGGGCTATGGCCAATCTCCTTGCTGTGGCCTTCTCCCACCAGCTGCTGATCTCCTGGCTTCTGTACCACCCCAAGGCATTGCAAGGCCTCTATTAGCTGTGGCAAGTTCAGAGGACATGGATCAGCCGCCTGCTGGGGAACCCAATCTCCTCATTGATGCAGGAGATTCAGACTGGGATTCCCACTCTCTTCAGGACTGGAGTCCCTGGCAGGAACATCTGCAATGGAAGGGCTGTAGGCTTCTCTCTATAGGAATTGATTTCTGGGTTTCATCTCTGAATTTTGAAATCTTTCCAGGGACTCACCCGCAACTTTGTTATCTGTCCGTTCTGCTTTTAAAGTCTTTGCTCTCAGCTGGGAAATCTGCCAGATTCTTCTTAGCATGTTGTTATGGTTCCGGCTAATGAAACACTTCAAAGAACTTCCAGGCACTGATTTTCCTAAAAGTCATTTATTGTTACAAAATGTTGGCATAGGCATAACAGAGGCTTTATGCTAAGATCTAAGTTCTCTTCCTCTGAGCAGTTAAATTATCAGCTTGCTCCCTCCCTAAATTAGCTATCATATATCACATTATCCAATTAGTATGAAGGTCAAAGGTTTCCTTCCTCTTTCTTTCCCGGGCTTTGCCCCCACCCCCTTCTGCTCTGTATTAACCCCAAATATACCAGAAAGTTCTGCATATTGTCACAGCAAGAATATACAATATTTGCAGTGTTGACAGTTGCACATCTCTGGACCCTTCCCCAGTGGGTTCAGAGTTTCCCCTCCCGATTTCTCAGTCGATTGGATCTCCATGACCTCAGCACTTTTCATCACCATCGCTCTTGGGTGCTGGGGGTTTTTAACAGTTTCCCCCCCAGGCCGGTCTTCTTTTCTCATCGGAGTCTTTGAATGACACTCTGCATCTCGATGGCCTTCTTTGCTGCATTTAAAGCTGGCAGTTGAGTGCAGGGTCACTGTGGGCTTTTCGTCGCCTCTCATTGCCTCTTCAGTGGGGAACATTTCCATGCTCTACCGAAATGGTGTTGATTTCGGGGTTGGTCGATCTCTGCTTTCTCGGCCAGGATGCACTAGTTGTGGAGGTAGGCAGGGGATCCTTGGCCAATACAGGCATGTTCATCATTCAGCCTGTCCTTGAAACAGCTCACTAGGATATCCTCTGATCAGTTGAGATGGCAAGCCAGATCTTGGAATTCTTCAGTGTATTCGGCCATGGGTTGTCGGCTCTATCTGACAGTCTTAATGAGATCCCTGGCTTTCTGATTGGCCAAGGGATCTTCAAACCACCATCTCAGTGCTGCCCTGAGTCGGTTGAAGTTTTGAAGCTTGGGTGCCTTGGCATTGTGCCAAGCTGCTGCACCTTCCACCAAGCTGCTGCACCTTTAAGGGCTAGGGTGACGACCCTGACTGGGCGCCCTCACTAGGGAGCTCTTGGCCATACTCCTGCTTATAGGTCATGATGTGGCCCAGGAAGAACCCCAATTGCTGGGGGTCCTCATCATATTTCATGCCAAGGGGGGAGTCTTGCACTCAGGACGGTGAGCCTTGCTCCTTTGGGCTCTGCACCCATCACCACCGGCTGGTGTAGTTTGAGCTGGGGTGTCACTGTGGTTGTGGCTTTTGCAGTATCTGCAGCATTGGTAGAGGTTCCTGGGTTGGAGGGTTTGCTCTCCCCCTTCCAGGTTCTTCCTCCAACCTTTCCTTGACCTTGTCTTGGCAGGCATCTGCCTCTTCCTCATTAAGGTTTTTGAAGGCCTCCACCATCACGTTTATGCCTTACTTAAGGAAGTGATCAGCTCAGGTCGGCCTTTTGTCCTCTTCTTCACTAAGGTTGAGCGAACACTTCATTTCATATCTCCAGCCTGGCTTGCGGCTGCAGCTGTTGATGGTCACTTTCTGGGACCTTCCTTCCCAGTCCTCCTTCTTCCCAATGCTGATTGACCACCTCGGCTTTGAGAGGGTGTCCCCAGTTGCCGCCTCATTCCCTGAGCCCACAGAGTCAGGGGAGCTGTCGCTGGAGCAAGCTTTTGGGGTGGGGGTCTACCCAGCGCTTGCTCTGTTCCCTTTCACTGCCGTGGTTAGACATCATGTGCACTGTCCACATGGTAGATGTTTTCCTCCCTCCAATTGACCATTTTGCAGATTCTGCCTAATGTAGGGACCTGCTTCAATTAATTCTCCCAAGAAAACAGAACTCTTGAAACTTGCATTGTCTCAACAGGAACTTTTATTGGAAGGTATTGGTAGCAGGATAGTAAGGCAGGATCTGAGGATTTCCCATGAAAAACATTACATTAAAAGAGCCCTTTCAAACCCCAACCCAAATGTCCATCCAGCCAGTTTGAATTGAATAAATCCATATGTGCTAAGTTGTTGTGGGAAAGAACTGATAAGGCTCTATTCTCAAGGCTGTCAGTTTCTCTGTGGCATCTTCCCATCCACCTGGAGATAAGGCAGATGGTTGGAAGCACATTCCTTTTACACCCCAAAGTAAGATACTTGAAAGAGGATAGAACAAAGCAAAGGAAGTACATTGCAGAAGACCCCTAGCCTTCCCCAGTAGAATGGCAGAATCCAAAAATCAGAGCATAAGAAAGAAATACATTGAGGGTCTGACAATTTGTAAATGTAGCTTTAATTCTACTTTGCTATATGAAATTAGATATAGTGATTATTTTTTTGTCTCAGTGTTGGGATGCCTACATAAATGCTGGAAAATTGTTTTTGTGGGAAGTAGAAATGGATGCTCATATAAGTTTAACCTACTATTGTCTTGCTAACATGTCTTCTACTCATCTTCTGTTATAATTCTTAATAATCTCCTTCGTAGGAGATTACTAATTCATAATCTCCTTAATCTGAGAGCACATGTATTCCAATATTTTTTAAAGTAATGTTTATTTAAAAAACCAATGAGACAAGTTCCATTTTTGATATATAAATACAATATGTAACAAATTAACAAATTTCTTCCTTTTGAGAAGCTTTTAGTCTGCTACATATTTTTCTTGAAACTTTCAGATGTTTGTACTATAGAATTTAAAATTCTGCATACATTCTAGAAATGTTTTTCGTTATATACAGTAGAGCATAATGTATGTCACTATCTTCTTTTTAATAGATGGAATACTGTACAGTATACTGAATATCAAAATGAAAGGAGGAAATGAAGAGAATATTCCAGCACTGTACAGTTACAAAACCAAATGCCTAAAAAAGTACCACATTCAGGTTTAACATATCTTGTAAGCAGCTTCTATAGTTAAAGAAATATAAAATTCACTCCTAGGAAAAAAAATTCAGCTCTTAGTTTACTGATTTAATTTTTAAAAAATAATGCAACAATTAAATTCACATATATTTATTTGATAATAGATTGTATGAATTCATTAGTGCACTTTCCTATAATGTAGTTATGGGACTGCAGTTCTATAGGATTGCTGCATAGGAAGAATCTATATTTTATACAGTTGGGTATTATGAGATTACAGGATCCTCCTTTTTCCTCTTTCTGACTCTGTCAATCAAATTTCCAAGAATATGATAATGTCATTGAAAGTGAAACCGTTTTAGTTATCCCAATAAATAAATCCCAATAGACACATAGCCCCAAATTTAATATGCAAGATAAAATTTCCTGAAACATAGCCCATATTCTTTTCTTCTCAGATCCTACAGTGCTAAAAATCAGTACTGAAAACTGGATGATTTTTTTTTCAACCTAACAGAGTCAAATGAAAGAAAAAAAGTAATTTATTAATAGAATATATTAATGGCTCAAGTTTAGTAATGCCTTGACATAGTCATATTTGAAAATTTTACCATCCAAGCTTTTAAATGAAACACTGTATTTATTTTTTCCTTAATAGAACATAAAATGTACAGAATAAACTTAATATTTCTATAAGAAATCATTTCAAATCAGATTAATTTCACAGTATGTGTTGAAAGCAATACAGTCCAACATTGAAGGTCATGTTCAACAATTCCCAAATTTTATCAATACAAATTAAAAATTGTGAACCAGAGAAGGTCAACTGCTACATCTATCTTGGTCAAAAGATAGATGTAGTGAAAGTGATATAATAGAGGAAATTTTGAACCAGACAAACTAGGTTGCAGAGCATTTGGACAATCTCATCCTAAATTCAAAAGCAACACATTCATCTACTTCAAAATTGTTTAATCAGTGTATACTATCAGTGTTGGCACATAGTTGCAAAATCTGGGTGATAAATGCAAAAGCAGTATAGACGGTGAACATTATGCAAAAAAATATGGAATAGGCAAATGCTCAATATAGCAAGACATAAAACATAGAATTTTAGGGCTGGAGGGCAACTCAGAGATCTTCTAGACCCAACCCACTGCTCAAGGCAGGAGATCCTATACCATCCAGGTCAAATGGTTGTCCAGTCTACTTTTGAAAACCTCCAATGATGGAGAACCCACAACTCCATGAGGCAAGCTGTTCCACTGATTAATTGTTCTTATTGTCAGAAAATTTCTCCCTACTTTTAGGTGGGATCTGTCTTTAACAAACTTCCACCCATTACTTCTTGTCCTGCCTTGAAAAATAAGACAATGCTTGGTGCTTTGGAGAATAAATCAATGACATCTACTCTGTGATAACCCCTAAGTACTGGAAGATAGCTATCATGTCCTCCTAATCCTTCTCTTCAATAGACTATACATGAAAATGACTCTGTAAATAAATCCCTGAAATATATTTAATTATGATAATTGCAATTGGTACATTGGAGAAAAAGAATGGTGGTGGGAACTTTACTGACATAAGTAAAAATACATTTATAGAATAAAAAAAATGGACCCACCAATTGATAATGATATATGTCATAATGAAGGAAATGACAATTGGCTAGCTATTTTGTATAACAAACAAACAGATCAGTGGTGGACAACAATTCTCAAGTGGATATCAATTAACCATAAAAGACCCAGGAAATCCCAAATAAATATTGGGCAGATAATTAAATTCAATTCAAAAGATTGTAACTTCTTTTAAGCATACAACTTGAACCTGACTCACAGTCATTGCTGAATGCTGCCATAGGAAGAGATTTGTGGCATGGTAATGTTCTTTTACATTTTATTTGTTGCTACATATTACAATAGGTATGATATTGCCATATCTGAAGACAAGAATTTTGCCTGGTATTGAATAGAGTTCCCCAATCTTGCTTATACAGTAGTTGTTTGATATAACCATTCTTTACTTGTTTCAAGAAATAGAATGAATAATTGCTTCACCTTTGAGCATTAGTATTAAAAAACACTTTCATGCCTTTGCAAACATGTTCTAAGCACACCCAACCCATCCTTATGTCCACTTGATAGAAATCTCGCTGATGTCCTGGTAGATAATACACTTTCCCTTCTAGTCTCCGAATTGTCACTCAGTAGCACCTTCCGTCCTACTACTTGCATGGACTTCTGATAAAACTCTTTGGATGCAAAGTAGTAAATGAATGGATCTATGCAGTTGTTGAGACAGCTAAGGCACAAAGTGAGTTTGTAAATATGATAGTAACCCTTTCTCTCTGTGAGACGGCTGATGATGTGTACCAATAGGATAAAGTTGTTGGGTGCAAAACAAACGATGAAAACCAAGAGCACTATTATAGCCAAGTAGACCGACCGTGTCTTCTGTCCATTGCCATATTTGTGAGAAGCTTGAATAAGCTTCCAAATAATGGCAGTGTAGCAAGCAACGGTAACTGTGAATGGAAGCAAAAAAAAGAAAAAAAGGGGCAGCAGGAGGAAAGCTCCCCATGCAGAAATACTGGAAAACATATTCCACTGAAGGACATCAAAACAGGTTGTAATGTTCAGTTCTTTTACTTCGTAAGTCAGGTTAGTTGAGGCAAGGGGCCACAAGGCGAATAATACAAAAAACCACATTACAATACAGGTAGCAATTGCATATCTCTTTTTTCTCCATTTCTGGGAGGTCAGTGGGTATACCACCCCCAAATAGCGCTCAAAGCTGATGAAGGTCATAGTCAATATGGACGAATACATGTTTGAATAAAACATTATTGTGACGTAGCTGCACAGCTGTTTGCTGTAAGACCAGTGGTTCTTCTTCACGTGGTATATAATCTGAAGGGGAAGACAGGAGGTCAATGCAAGATCTGTTAGGCTAAGGTTAATCATGAGAAGAATTGATGTTGTTTTGGGTTTGATATGAAAGAAGAGAATCCAGAGGGAGAAAATATTTCCAGGGATACTGATAATAACAACTAGTGAATACACAATTGGTAAGATGATCATAATATCAGGATTCTTAAGCATGTCCATTGTTGCATCATCCAGTGACACGTTTTTAATCATTTTCTGTATTTGATTTCTTTGTTCTTGGAAATTTGAAAGATGTATCTCACAGCTTAAATTTGTACCCTATAAAATAGAAAAATATAGAAAAAAGGTCAGTGACAATGTGAAAGAAAACTTAGATGTGGCTTCTTCTTTCTCACATGTCATGTACACCTTTCTAAAGACAGTTGCATATCTCTTTCTAAAGATATTTACTAAAGTAACTAGGCAGTCTACTGCTTTTGCTACTAAATTTATTCAGTATATCTATTAAGTACCTCAAAATTAAATTTGCCAAGCATTTGTACATTGCATAAGTAGCACTGCAACAGATCAATAACATTAACAAAATATAATAAAATAGTAATATAGATTATAAAGATGTAAACTATGGAAAGAAGGGAGGGAGGAAAGAAGGAAATTTAAATGAAATATTTTTTTTATTAAAAATACTATATAAATGAGGTAACAGAAGGACCCAGTTCTGGCCCCAGAAGTAAGACAAGGATAATCATGACAAAACCATGAAGCTGCTTTTTAAAAAGCCTCTCACTCTTCTGCTCTGCCTTTGGATTTCAGATTAAATGGATATTTTAAGAAGATTTTCTGAGGATAGCTTCAGACTATGTGCATTTAGTGGGTGCGTTCCATTAGGTACCATTGTCCATGGACATCAGTGTAGCCCCAAATACTTCTTTAGTGCTCTCAGATACTACCCTCCCCATTTTACTGGACTAAAATAAAATAAAAAATAGGAAGTAGGCATGTTGCAAGACAACAGTTTTTTACATTATATTTATTTACAAGAATGCCTTTTGCTCCACAAACGTTCTAATAGGATGGTAGAGGCTACTTTGAATTCTGATATACATATCGTTTTATACCTGGATAAATTCATCATAGTAGTTGTCTTGAGAAAGGGGCGTTGTCTTACCTGAACGCCTTTTCTCAGCATGATGATGGAGAATCCACGGATGGGTTGTCTTAATCTATCTGCTCCAATTAGACTAAGTCTGAAATTTAGTACCGCCCCCTCTGTGCCAACTGCACCCCAGTTTTAGGCTAAGGCGATACTCAGACTTTAGTCCGACGCGTCTGAAAAATATGGGAACCAGGCCAACTGACCTAATGGGAGGGAGTGGATTCTCCATCATCATGCTGAGAAAAGGCGTTCAGGTAAGACAACGCCCCTTTCTCCAGCATGATTGGATGGAGAACCCACGGATGGGACATACCAAAGCCCTGTGTCCCTAGGGTGGGGAATTAGATTGGGCCTGGGTCCCATCCAACGTTAATGCGTGTTCTAGAACCTTGCGGCCAAATGAAGCCGTAGAAGATGCATATACATCCCTCTTGTAGTGACAGACAAAGGAAGAGGGCGATGCCCATGTTGCTGCTCTACAAATTCCCTCTACGGAGGCCTGAGTAGACCAGGCAGCTGTAGTAGCTGTGCCCCGGTTGAATGGGCTGTGATATGCCTGGGATCTCGCAGTGACTGAGACTGGTATGCCAGAGAAATACAAACTCTAATCCACCTGCGTATTGTGGTTGAAGAAACCTTCTGACCTAGTGATGAAGGGTGATAAGACACAAACAGAGCCTCTGTTCTGTGGAAAGATGAGGTTCTCTGTATATAACAATATAAGCTCTGCGCACATCCAATTTGTTCCACTGAACCTCTATGTCATTAAATGGGTTAGGACAGAAGTCCGGCAAAACTATTTCCTGAGATCTAGGATACAAGGACTTGACCTTAGGCACGAAGGAGGGGCCTAGCCTAAGGGTTACCCTGTCCTTATGGAACGTACACAGGTCCTTCCTCACTGAAGAGTAGCCAGTTCAGATATCCTTCTCGCTGAAGTTACAGCAACAAGAAATTCCACCTTCATCGATAACTCTTTAAACAAACCAGTGTCAATGGTTCAAAGGGTGAGAAACAAGAGCCTATAAACCTGATGAAGATCCCACGAGGGGTATCTATGTACAGTTGGTGGTCTGGCGTTGTTAGCTTCCTTTAGGAAGGAGCGTATCATAGGGTGATGTATTAAGGATTCATTGCCACAGGAAATAACTGTGGCAAGTGCTGCTACCTGCCTGCGGATGGTGCTTGTGGAAAGCCCTTTGTCTAGACCATCCCTCAGGAACTCCAAGATAATTGGCACTGAAACCGCCAAAAGGTCAATTTTGTGAACCGAACACCAATTACAGGAGTCTCTCCATGTGGCATCGTATATTCTATTCGTCAAGGGTCGCCTGGATTGCTGAATCATAGCTATGACCCTTGATGAATATGAGTCTCAGCCTAAGGCCTGCCTCTCAAGTGCCAGATGGTTAACTGGAGTCATTGAGGGTCCGGATGGCGTAGTTCCCCCTGAATGTGGGAGATGCAATTTGCTGGGATCCTCCATGGAGATGATGCGGAGAGCTCCATCAGGTCGGCGACCAAGAGCGTCTCGGCCAATGCGGCACAACCAGGAGGACCTCTGCTCGTTCGCGAAGGATCTTCCTGATCGTGGCAGGAAGAAACAGCAGAGGAGGGAAGGCATAGAGCAGTTCCCTGGGCCAGGGACTGCGGAGCGCATCTGTTCCCTCCGCTGATGGAGGTGGGAACCCGGAAAGGAATCTGGGAAGTTGTGAGTTGGTGGGGGAGGCAAAAGGTCTAAGGTTGGGGAACCAAACCTGTCCACGATCTCTCTGAACACCTTCGGATCCAGCTGCCATTCGGAATGGTCCATGGTTGCTCAGTTCAGTGAGTCCGCCTGCTGGTTGGTCACTCCGGATATGTGCTCCGCCCTGATGGAGGCAAGATTCAGTTCCGCCCAGGACCCCAGCAATTTGGCCTCCTGCATGAGAGGCCTGGACCTTGTCCCCCCTTGTCTGTTGACGTGGGCCTTGGCTGTAATGTTGTCGGTTAAAATCAGGACATGTTGGCCCTGTACTATATCGGTGAATCCCTTTAGGGCCATATGTATGGCTCTGAGTTCCAGCCAGTTTATATTGTTCTTTAGGTCCTGTTTGGACCACCGACCTTGAGCCCAGTGCGTGTGGAGGTGTGCCCCCCACCCAAACAGGCTTGCATCTGTGGTAATGGTAATCCTGTCTGGTTCTAATACTGCTCCCCGTGACAGCACCGGGGAGTCCCACCATTGAAGGGAGTTCAAGTCTCTGAAATGGAAGGAGAAGCCATGTAATTCTCTGGCGTGGAGGCGTGCCCATGGCACAATTTGCACGCAGGACATCGTCTTCCCCAGTAGCTGTGATAGGGAGGCCAATGTGACTACTCTGGCCCTTTGGATCCGACGTACAAGAGTCTGAATAGAGTTCCTTCGGTCCTGAAATAGTAGACCATACAATTGTCCGTGTCTATAACAGCGCCCAAATGGAGGAGCCGGGTTGTTGTATGACTTTTCTGGAAATTAACAGAAAACCCGTGCTCCTGAAAGACCTTGATGGCTAGGGCGAGGTCTGACTGAGCGTTTCGGAATGATGATGACTGAATTAGTATGTCATCTAAATAGCATTGAATTCTGATTGGAATTTGTCTAAGTGGGCTGCGAGCACTGCCAGTACCTTGTAAATACCCTCGGGTAGGGTTCTGTACTGGTAGTGGGCATAGCTGAATCTGAGGAATTTGCGGTGGTTAGGAAACATGTCTCAGTTAGGTCTATTGAGGTAAGAAAGTCACCTTGCCTGATGCTGGCCAGGATTGATTGAAGTGGTTGCATCTTAAACTTCTTATACCTCAAGTAAGGTTTAGATCTTTCAAGTCTAAGATTGCCCTCCAGCCCCCCAAGTCTTAGGGATGACGAAGAGGTTTGAGTAAAACCTTCGTCCTTCTTGGTCTTGTGTACTGGTTCAATTGCTCGTATTTGTAATAAATGAGCTATGGCCTCTGACATAAAGTCAGCCCTGGACCTGCTCGTTGGGATAGGGCAAGAGCGGAATTTGTCAGGTGGTTGAGAACAAAATTCTAGTCTCAAACCTTGCGTGACAGTGTCTAATACCCATGCATCTGTAGTGATGGCTGTCCAAGTGCTGGAATAAGGGGCCAGCCAGCATCTGTAGTGGTGACTGCCCAAGTGCTGGAATAAGGGGCCAGCTGGCTTCCTATGGGAAGTGAGACTGTGAGATCACTTGCCTCGTTTAGAGGAATGGCCCCTCGGCCTTGAAGGGGCCGCTTGGCCTGGATCTGTGGTCTGCTTCTGCATGCTGAACGATCCTGCTGTCTTTCTTGTCTCTGAAATGAATAGAGGGATGCCTGGGCACAGTCCCAGGATGGAGCTGGTCGAAAGGCAGCCTCCTGTAACTGCTCTGTGACATGAGTTAACCAGAGTTTTACGTTTGTCCTTACCTTCAGTTAAGTATGGTTCTAGTGCCTTACCAAAGAGATGTCCACCTGTGTAAGGTTTAGAGGCCAGACGCCACTTGGTCTTGGTGTCTGCTCACCAATTCCTGGGCCAAAGGAGCCTTCGTGCTGAGATGTCTGCAGCGATGGTCTGGCAGTGTATCTAGCCATGTGCAGAGAAGCGTCGGCTAGGTACTGGGATGTAGCCACTAACTTACCCAGATTTTGGTGAGCTCTGAGCTGGTCCGGAGGGATCCTGTCCTGGAGCTCACGTAACCCAAGGGCTGAAGCCCTGGCGAAGAAGGCCATGGACGTTGCCGCCTTTGTTGTCCAGGCTGATGCCAGATGGGAACTACACAATGCGGAGTCAATCTTTTTATCCTCCGCCCTAAGTGCCTCATTTATGTCCCCAGGGATGTTAGCATTGGGAAACAATGAGTTCAAGGCTCATCAATCTCAGGAATCTCCAATAGGGAGGCCAGAGAACGAGCAACATTGAATAATGTTCCCTCTACTGCACCGGGGCTTAAGAAGGATCCTAAGTTCTCCCATTGTTCTTGAACTATATTCAGAAAAAGGGGAGGGCAGGGAATATTGTTCTGCGAGACTGAGGGCTCGGTGTATATGGCGTGGGGACCCTTGGACGTTGTAGGTGGGGTCTCCTGTTCTTGGGGGAGGTTTGCAGTAGTGCAGGCCCTGAGTAGCAGGGAATTAAAGAATGAATGGTCAAAGAGACCGA